GCGGTGGAAATACAAAGTATAACCGTAAAACTCGTCGGAAGTTCGAGCCGTGTTGGCTCTGAAATCCGCGCGAGTATTAGGGAAAAATCCCTCGCCACTTCGAAGCAGTCCAATGAAGCCGAACTAGTCGATAGGAGATCCATCTCGTACTCGTAAAAGTCGCGCTGCACTCCTAATGAGATCCTCCTCGGGTGTATCGCGAACCAGCAGATACCTTGGGATCGTCAAGTCTCGTCGTGCTCCAGGCATCTTGAGTGAAATTAAAAAAACGGCCCACTCAGGAAGACCGTGTAAATCACACTCCAGAGAAGACGATTGTCACAATGAGTCGCCCGCAAAACAATCCACACCACTCCTTAGATCGATCGCTTGTCGCGACACCCTGCATTGCCGCCGTAAGATTTTCGTAGCGCTCCCGCACCACGGCTGGTTAAACCGGAGTCACCGTCGAAAGATTTCGACAGCGCTACCGTACCACTGCCGAAAACCCGGAACCGTCGCCGTAGAAAACCCGATGGCGCTTCCGCACCACCACTGAAAAACCAGCCCTACCGCCGCAAAAAAACCGGCAGCGCTTCCGCACCACTGCTGAAAAACCAGGCCTGCTGCCGGAAAAAAAAAAACGGTAGCGCTTCCGCACCACCGCTGAAAAACCAGGCCTGCCGACACAAAAAACTGGCAGTGCTTCCGCACCACCGCTGAAAAACCAGGCCTGCCGCCACAAAAAACCGGCAGCGCTTCCGCACCACTGCTGAAAAACCAGGCCTGCCGCCGCAAAAAAACCGGCAGCGCTTCCGCACCACCGCAACAAAATTTCGGCAACACTTTCGTACTACCGCAGTGAAGGCCTGTGCCGCCGCAGCAAAATTTCGGTAGCACTTTCGTACTACCGCAGTGAAGGTCTGTGCCACCTGCCGTAGACCCGTAGTGCCACCGGGCTTGTCCCGTGGGACCAGCACCAGCCAAAGGGGACGGGAGCAGAGTGCTCCCTGCCTTGGCTATGGCTGCCCAGTCTTCCGCCTGGTGCTCCTCTGCAGTCCTCCAGCTCCTCCTCACGTTGCCTCAGCAGCAGCTCCAGCAGCCACAACACTCAAGTGTGCCCGTCACACACTAGCAACACGAGTGCTTTGTGTGGCAGCTGGGGGGCAGCTGCCTTTTTTATATTGGCTGAAGAGAGCTGGACGTCACTCCAGCCCACAGGCAAAAACGCGGGTTCACAGTGAGCCCTTGATCTGGCCTAGATCCAGGGCTGACTGTGGCTGCACCACAGCCACAGCCTTAGTGTGGGGCAGTTTCTTTAACTGCCCCATTTTTATTTTTATTTTCTTTTTCCCAGCTATCTCGGAATCTGGCGAGATAGCTGGTCTCCTGCCATTTCCAAAACACTTTTTCTTTTCTTTTCCTGATAAGGGGTTGGAGAGATACAGCCCCTTACAGTTTGATGTACCTGGACCCTTTTTTCCAGGGCAGGTACATCGGGGAAAAGGCTGCATCTAGCCTTTTCCTTAGTGGCCTTTAAATTTCCAGGCTCCAAGCAAAAATGGGAGCCTGATAGTTACCTCTGGCAACTTCTGCCAGAGGTAGCACCACGTGAGGACAAGTGTCCTCTCACTAAGTAAAGAAAAAGAAAATAAAAAAACTAACTTTCTAACTTCTACTGCACCTGGCTTTTACCTTGGCCAGGTGCATGCTATTGTATGCAACAGCCCCCTTCCTTTCCTCTGCTGTCTTCCCCTGAAAACGGGGAAGCCAGTTGGCAGGTTGGGAGGAGTAGGACCTCCTCCTCCCAACTACCCCGTTTCTCTCTCTCACTCCCTCTCCTCTACTCCCTCAGTCCCATCTCCACGCGCGCGCTGTGGGCCACGAGATCTGAGATCTCGTGGCCACAATCGTTTTTCTCAAAACTGAAGTGGGAGCCTTCGTGCTCCCACACAGTCCAAAAGGACTGTTCTTTCTTTCACGAGGCAATTGCCTCGTTTGTTTTACTTT